TTTGTATTCGAAAGCTTTTTGGTTTTGGTTAGTGTTTGTTTACAAGCGTTGTTGTTGAGTAGCAGCCACCCTTGTCATAAACTCTCATTTGTGACCGTCTCTTCTTTTGATGGACAATATCTTTTATCAGATGCTTTACTTTGGTATCCTTTTACAAGCTTTGGAAAATTGACAGATTTTTTAATAGTCTCGAGTTATTATAAGGTTGTATCTGTTTAGAATTTTTCTTAATTATTTATAACGCATATATTCTACAAACGTAGTTGCTTAAATCTAAGATTTTAAGGAAGAATAACACTTCCTTTAACTATTATAAGACTCTTTAAATACTGGACACTTGATGTGTTCGAAAAATTGACAATTTTATATATATGATGATGAAATCATATATACTAATTATGGAATCTGTCTTATGTGGATGGGCTAAAATTGTAAATAGACACATGAATAATTTTGAAACTAGTCTTATATGATTAATCTATTAAATTGACGGTAAATCATATGGAGATTAATTATCTTTGAATTCTCTTATCATACATTTTACGTTTTTTACTAAATAATTTGTAGTTTTATAATTTTCAATTAGTGAACCAATTAAATTACAGATTACAATATTAAAACTCTGTATGTTGAGCAATTTTTTTCATCGTTAATGCATGGAATAATAATCTATTAAAAGCATGGAATAATAATCTATTAAAAGATTGAGGCTACTTTTTGGTATAATGTCAAAACATATTTTTTTAGTGTTTGATTAAATAATTATTTTGTTATATATATATATATATATATATATATATATTTGAGATAAAAAAAAGTCTTTCCATAGATGAAAATTGTTAGTCAACAAATAATCAATGTTTTAAAATTTGAATTTTTTTCATCTTAAAATGAACTATTGAAAGTTAAAATACTCCAAAAAATAATTGTCAAAATGATTATTTTTTACCATAAATAGAACGTTGTTGTCAAAATATTTTGAAATGACAGAAGTCAAAGTGAATATTTAATCAAATGTTAAGGGTATTTTTTTACTTTATATCTTTTTATATAATTTATTTTATTTTTCTGTTACTTTTTATGAAATAATAAAATAATAATTGATTGGTTGAGATTTGACCCGTTATTATTTTATATGATGTTTTTTTCTAATGTCTTATATATATATGATTTAGTAATTGATTGTCTAATTCACACTTTGAATGATGATTAAATTCCCATTAGATAGAAAATGAAAGAATAGTAATGAATTAAAATTTAACCCTAATTTATCAATATGTATTATATATTATTTTTATATTTTAACATGCTCTCTTAATTTTTATTGTTTTGGGTAAAAAATATTTGACGAGTTAAAATGTATTTACCGTAATATTATAACAGAACTATTTAAAGAAAAAGCTAACTAGAGTACTGTAAATATTTAATCTTCTATTTGAGTATACTCAAGTAAAATTATTTATCGTGTTCGACAAACAATATACCTCCCATCAGTTTGTGCAAAAACATTTGCAACTTTATCAATATCACGAGATGATCTTCTTAATTTAACATAATTTATTTATAATATTAAGATTTTAATTGAATGTTATTTAAAGAATTCAACATTTCATTCCACTAAATTTATAATTTTCTATATCCGATTTAGATACTACGATCAAATCTCTAAGATTGTATCAATGTAAATTTATAAAATGTCATCCAAATTGACATTAATTATAAACTCAAACCAATGACACAATCAAAGTCATCCAAATTGATTACCTTGAAATCTTTTTTTACCTTTCAATCACCAATCTACATCTATATCTTTCGTGTCACTCCAACTGTTGGAACTCCCTCGAAATTGACAGTCTTGATCACACCATTCATTGACTCAACTTTAAGACCAAGAATGTCGGCAACCTTCTTGGACATGAAAAAATAATTGTCCGATATCACTAGAGCACTCTTTGATCATCCTGCAACGTTGATGTCTACGTATATCAACCTTTTATGTTTTTGGCCTCCATTCTCCTTGACATAACTCAATATCATGATACCAAGCCTCATTGATCCTCAGCTTTTCTTCCTCATTGGACGATTTGGCTTGATCTGGATAATTTTGCAACTCGCACATCCCCTTATCTTGGTGGCTCATTGGTTACTTCCTCTTTCTCTTTGGCTTCACGGTATTGACTCTTGCAATTACACCCAACTGTGTTACACCTTCCTCAGATTCGTCACCTCTATCGGCGATGGCCATCAATTTGGCCTTCTTAAGGCAATTCTTTATCGCGTGCTTACTGCTACAAAAATAACATTTGAAGGGCTCGCCACTCTTCTTTCACCATGACCTCCTTTGCTTGTAAGGTATGTTCTTTAATGTCTTCTCGCTGCAACTCAAAAACTTCTCGGATCCATCCTTGGACTGCACCTCGTTGTCTCTCTCACCATTTCCTCTAATTGTCTTTGATGTGGATGACTTGTCCTCTCGACTTTAAATTTTGATATGGATTCAGTTGCGGCCAATACGTTGGAGAGTTCTTGGATTCTTCTCCGTTGTATCTTCAATTTGGCCCATCGTTGTAGTCCATCGATAAAGGCAAAGTAGCCCTCTTCTTCGCTCAAGTTCAGGATTCATATCTTGAGTTTGGTGAACTGTTTGACATATTTGTAGATGGAAGAATCATGTTTAAGTTATCGAAACTTCCCTTAGGCTTCATGTTGATCATTCTTTGGGTAAAACTATTCTTTAAACTCAGCTTGAAACTCTTTTCATGTCTTAATGTGAAAGTCCTTGCTCTTCTCCTCAGAGCATCGACGACGCCACCACAAAAGAGCAACATCAATCAAATAAACATAAGCATTGTTTACCTTCTATATATCTTCAGTGATACCATGGCTTGAAAGTATTGATTCAATTCCCAAATGAAGTTTGCCGCATCTTTGGAAGTCCTTATCCCCTTGAACTCCTTCATTCCAGGGATATCGATATGGGGTTTAAGCGTCCCAACCTCAGCTACACTGCAGTATGGTAAATGAGTAGCTCGCTCTTGATCTCCTTCACCTCCTCCATCATCTCGGCCTTCATAACCGCTATCTGATTGTCCATGCGTTCTCGCATCTCTTCCTTCAAAACCACCATTGCAGCTTTAAGGGAATTGTCTCGCCGGTCCAACTTCTCATATAACTTGTTGAGAAGTCCTTGCACCTCAGCTACACTGCAGTATGATGATGATGATGATTATTATTATTATAATCCACTTAATATAAATATTCATTTAAATGTAGAGGGCATTAGTTTGACCTATTCTATTCCACTCTATATTTTGTTATTATCATTTATATATTTTATATACGTATTACAATTCATATTAAAAATGTCTAAAATTATGATCTTTAAAAATATTTAAACTCATATTTTTATTAGAAATATAATCTAACTTACCAAATCATGTAATACTTATCGGTACAGAATATTTTATATTTTCATAAACCCCTAATAATTCTACCTCATTTTCTACTTTCTGGAATGCTGAAAATGAAACAAAGGTTTAGGCGGCCATTTCTATCTGAGTGATTATTTCAAAACTTACACTTGAGAGTTGAGCCTAGTAATTAAGTTGAGTCCAACAAAAAAAAATTAAATTATTTGAGTTGACGAGTCTTATTTTATAACTTGAATTTATATTAAAAAATTTCAAGCCGAGTCAATATTTTTGAGTTTCTATGTAAATTTTATTGTAAATATTTATAATATTATGATATTATTTGATTCTAATTTAAAAGGGTTTTTTATAACCATATACAATACATATATATTTCTTCATATTTTTTATATGTGATATACATATATCATACAGAGTTGAGGGACTTGACCAGTGACGATCCAAAAACATTTTTTTAGGGTGGGTATATATGTATTAATAATAGAAAATTTTCGTATGAAACATGTACAAATAAGATTTCTGGGTGAGCACTATTAGTAAAATGAATAATTAACATAAAAAAATTCGGATTTCAGGGTGGGCACGTGCCCACCCTGTCATGCACATAGATTCGCCACCGGATACAACTCAAACTTAAAAATCAATCTACTAATTAATAAAAATTTTAAGTTATTCAGGTTTTATTTTATAACTTGATTCGAATTTAAAATATTTTTTAATAGTATTGGGTTTTGGTCACCCCAACTTATAAAAGTAAAACACAACCCCACAATAACGGGTGTGTCCTCCAATCTGTGTGGATTGACTCTTGAATTGTTTAAGTGTGGACCATCAATAATATTGATTGTCATGTATATGCATTTACACAGAAGCTGAAATTTTGTACATTCATAAAATGAGGATTATGATTGTTGATTAAACACGTAATAAACATATCCCATCTAAGTCAAAATATTTATTAGGGACCATTAATTATGTGAATAGACAAGGAAAACCAATTTTAAACACACACAGGAAGAAAAACAAAGGGTTTTGACTACGAAGTTCAGACGTGAAAAATATTTAATTCATAGCAGAACCTCTGCAATCAGTGTGCAGTTACTTTACATTTGTTACACTTTCTTTTTTGATTGATTGATTACACATAAGCATGTTTTTGTTAATCCTTTAATGGTATACAATTCTACGTGTTTTCGCTATTGTTAATCTTTCATCGAGTCGAATTGAGTAAAAAAAAATTTGATATATAATATACATATATCATGCAGAAACTCAACTTGAACTTGAAAACTAATTCACTAATTATTAAAAATAATTAGTTATTCGAGTTCTGTTTTATATCTCGGACTTTATTTGATTTTTTAATCAAATCAAATAATTTTCTTTTAATCGAACCAAAATTTCGTCCTCCTTAATTTTCACTACATATGTTAAAATCCGACATCAATAGCTAAGTTTAATTAGTGTAATGTTTGAGTCAGAAATCTGGAACCTCCCACAAGATGTATCCATTTTGCTTGCCAAAGTGATACTAAAAGCCAACAAGTTTAATTAAAGTGATGTGGTTTATTTTGATATTATCACAACATTTCCGTAATAGAAACAAAAACCGAATTACAGATCATCAAATATCATTAATTTTCAACTACCCAAATGCCCATCATGTCTCTTCCTATAACAATATTAGAAGTTCTGTTTTCTGTTTGAATTTCTGCTGGTATTGATGGCATGATTATAACATATACAAAGAGCTACACAATTCCTTCGTTGCCCGCCAATGTCATGTACTTATCCTTTCTTGTTAAGGATGTACATTCAAAGTTTAAGGCTTTGCCGATCAGTGCTTGCACGTGATTGGCTACCTCCAACTTTGATTTCCCTCCTTGACATGTAAATGATTTTGGTAGTTTCTCAAGAATTGTAGCAGAACAATGAGTTGTTGGATTCATGAGCAAGAAAGCTGGGTCTAAGAATTTATACCCACTAGCTGTTGTTCCATAGAACATGCTCACATGGAAATCAATGGCGATCGGGACTATGTCGTCGGTTATCTCGGCAAATAATGGACTGAATCTCAACAAATACGGCTCCCTCCAAGTGGTTCCTGTTGAAAATTGGCACACCAAATTACATCAATTGTCAACATTATGGGTGGCAATTTGGTGGCAAAATTGGTCAAATTTGGCCACCAAATTGTTGAAAATTTTGGATGGTAAAACTATGCAATTAGTCATTGTAATTTAAGGTATTTACAAATTAGTCCTTAAAGTTTCAACTATAAATACCCTAGCTCATTTAGCTTCAAAATCATCCCAAAGCATTCTAGCTTTCTTCCAATACTAGAGAGAATTTAGAGAGTTTCTTGAGAGTTGTTTTCTCCTTTTTTATCAAGAGAGAATTATCATTGTTTTCTCCTTGGTCGATCGAGAGAAGTTGTAATTCCTTTTTTTTTCATAGTGAAATTCTTCTACCATTGCCCGTGCTTTTTACCCTATATTATTTAGGGGTTTTCCACGTAAATTTTGTGTCTCTTTTATCTTCATTTTATTTTCTCAAATTATCAATTGCGATTTTGCTCTATCCGATAGCCGTCTTCCGCAACAATTGGTATTAGAGCTAGATTAGAGTGTGTAATATCTGCTTATTGTCTTTGTGGTTGCCACCAAAAGGTGGATCCTCCAACATAAGAAAATAAGAAGTTATTACCCATTCTTTGAAGGTTCCAGAGAACTATTTACGATAGTGAAATAGTGGGAGCTATCCGTAAAAGAAGCTATGGCAACGAAATTTGATATTGAAAAAATTCAATGGGAGAAATTTCTCATTGTGGAAATTGAAGATGAAGGCCATCCTCAGGAAAGACGGGTGTCTAGCAGCTATCAATGAAAGGCCGGTGGATTTCGCAGATGACATCAAATGGAACGAGATGGACGAAAATGTTATGGCAAACTTTCATCTAGCATTAGCAGATGAAGTATTGTCAAGCATCGAGGAGAAAAAGACAGCTAAGGAGATATGAGATCATCTCACCAAATTGTACGAGGCCACATCATTGCACAATAAAATTTTCCTTAAGAGGAAATTGTACACTCTCTGTATGCCAGAATCTACTTCAGTGACGGAGCACTTAAATACACTGAACACCTTATTTTCTGAGCTTACATCCTTAAGCTGTAAAATAGGAGAACAAGAACGTGCTGAACTTCTACTTCAAAGCCTACATGATTCATATGATCAACTCATCATCAACTTGACAAACAGTAATGTCACCAGTTTAGTCTTCGATAACTTTGCAGCTGCTATTCTACAAGAAGAAAAAGGACGCAAGAACAAGGAAGACAGACAAGTAAATCTGCAACAAGCAGAAGCGTTGACAACGATGAGAAGGAGATCAACAGAACGTGGCCAAAGCAGCAGTCACAAACATGGTAGATCGAAGTCGAGGAGCAAGAAGAATTTAAAGTGCTACAACTGTGGAAAGAATGGTTACTTGAAGAATGATTGTTGGAGTCTAAATAAAAACTCCAATCCACAAGGTAATACCGCAAACACTTCAGATGATGAAGATGCTCTATGATGTGAAGCGTCAACCACCGTGGAAGGCAGAAAAATATTTGCAGATATATGGCTCATTGATTCGGGAGCAACATATCACATGACCTCAAGAAGAGAATGGTTCCATCATTATGAACCTGTCTCAGGAGGATCTGTGAATAGTTGCAATGATTATGCCTTGGAGATTGTTGGCGTGAGAACCATCAAATTAAAGATGTATGATAGAACAATTAAAGTTGTTCGAGATGTGCGGCACGTGAAAGGCCTGAAGAAAAATTTATTTTCCTACGGATTGTTGGATAATAATGCAAGCAAGATTGAAACACGTAAAAGAATCATGAAGGTGTTCCGTGGAGCGCTTGTGGTGCTGAAAGGCGAAAAGATAGTAGCAAACTTGTACATGTTGAATGGAGAGACTTTGCTAGAAGCAGAAGCCTCAGTTGCCTCATGTAGTTCAGATTCTGCAATGCTATGGCATCATAAACTTGGACACATGTCAGAACAAGGAATGAAAGTCCTTGTGAAGCAAAAACTACTTCCAGGCTTAACGAATGTATCACTTACTCTGTGTGAGCATTGCATAACAAGTAAGCAGCACCGGTTGAAATTCAATACATCAAATTCTAGAGGCAAAAGTGTTCTAGAATTGGTTCACTCTGACGTATGGCAAAAATACTTTGTCTCATTTATTGATAACTACTCCAGGAGATGTTGGGTGTACCCTATTAAGAAGAAGTCAGACGTGTTTTCAACTTTCAAAAACTTCAAAGCGCTGGTGGAACTTGATTCTGGAAATAAGATCAAGTGTTTCAGAACAGATAATGGAGGAGAATACACAAGCGAAGAATTTGATGACTTTTGCAAGAAAGAATGCATCAAAAGACAGTTCACAGTGGCGAACACTCCTCAACAAAATGGAGTGGCAGAGCGGATGAACAAAACCTTGTTAGAAAGAACAAGAGCAATGTTGAGGGACGCAGGCCTAGAAAAATCATTCTGGGCATAAGCAGTCAATACCGCCTGTTATTTGGTGAATCGAGCTCCATCAACTGCAATAGAGCTGAAGACACCAATGGAGATGTGGACTGGTAAACCAGTTGATTATTCAAACCTCCATGTATTTGGAAGTATTGTGTACGTGATGTACAACGCCCAAGAAATTTCAAAGTTGGATCCAAAATCCAGGAAATGCAAATTCTTGGGGTATGATAATGGTGTAAAGGGGTATTGCTTGTGGGATCCCACTGCCCACAAAGTGATCATCAGCAGGGATGTTATCTTTGTAGAAGATAAACTACAAAGAAAAAAAGATGATGATAGCGCTGAAAAGTCAGAGACTACGCAGATACATGTGAAAAAGGAGGTTGAACAAGGAGATTATTCTGAAGCAGAACCAGCACATGATGAACAAGAACCAGAGAGTTCTGAAACTCCAACAACTCGTCAATCATATCGTGTGAGAAGACGTCCCAATTGGCACTCAGATTATGTTATAGAAGGTAATATTGCATACTGCCTTTTAACAGAGGACGGTGAGCCATCAACATACCATGAGGCAATAAACAGCTCAGATGCTTCACTGTGGATGATGGCGATGCAAGAAGAAATTGAAGCCCTTCATAAAAATAATACATGGGACCTTGTGCCACTACCACAAGGAAGGAAGCCAATTGGTAACAAATGGGTCTTCAAAATCAAGCGAAATGGTGACGATCAAGTTGAGAGGTATCGTGCAAGACTGGTGATCAAAGGATATGCTCAAAAGGAAGGTATTGATTTCAATGAAATATTTTCTCTTGTGGTTCGACTAACTACAGTTCGAGTAGTTTTAGCAATGTGTGCTACATTGAACTTACATCTAGAGCAACTAGATGTTAAAACAGCTTTTCTTCATGGAAATCTTGAAGAAGAGATTTATATGCTCCAGCCTGAAGGTTTTGAAGAAGACGAAAAGAAGAACTTGGTTTGTAGGTTGAACAAATCTCTGTACGGTCTAAAGCAGGCGCCGAGGTGTTGGTATAAGAGATTTGATTCCTTCATTATGTGCCTTGGATACAACAGACTTAATGCAGACCCTTGTGCTTATTTCAAGAGGTCTGGTGATAACGATTTTGTTATATTGCTGTAGTATGTGGATGACATGTTGGTTGCAGGACCCAACAAAGATCATATTGAAGAATTGAAGGCACAACTGGCTAGGGAATTTGAAATGAAGGACTTGGGATCAGCAAACAAGATTCTATGGATGCAAATTCACCGAGACAGAAGTAATAGGAAGATTTGCTTGAAGAAAATCTTGTCACGATTTAGCACGCAAGATTGTAAGCCAATTTCTACCCCTCTTCCTATTAACTTCAAATTATCATCCAGTATGAGTCCTAGCAGTGAAGAAGAGAGGATGGAGATGTCTCGAGTACCGTATGTATCAGCAGTGGGAAGTTTAATGTTCGTTATGATATGCACAAGACCAGACATTGCACAAGCAGTGGGAGTGGTTAGTCGGTACATGGCGAATCCAGGCAAAGAGCATTGGAATATTGTAAAGAGGATCCTAAGATACATCAAAGGGACCTCAAATATTGCATTATGTTTCGGAGGATCAAACTTACTAATCAATAGGTATGTAGATTCTGACTATGCAGGGGATTTGGATAAAAGCAAATCTACTACAGGATATGTGTTCAAAGTTGCTAGTGGAGCTGTAAGCTGGGTTTCAAAATTGCAGTCAGTTGTGGCTACGTCCACAACAGAGGGAGAATATGTAGCAGTTACACAAGCCAGTAAAGAAGCAATTTGGTTGAAGATGCTATTGGAGGAGCTTGGGCACAATCAAGAGTATGTCTCTCTGTTTTGTGACAGTCAAAGCGTCTTGCATCTAGCAAGGAATTCAACATTTCATTCAATGACTAAGCACATACGAGTTCAGTACCATTTCATTCGTGAAAAGGTGGAAGAATGAACGGTAGATATGCAGAAGATCCATACCAAAGACAACATAGCAGATTTCATGACGAAGACAATCAATGCTGATAAATTTACCTGGTGTCGATCCTCCTGTGGCCTGTCAGAAACGTAAGCAACATGAAAGGTACAAGGTAGAAAGAATGGTGTGAAGATATGATTGTTCCAATCAAATCTTCAAGTGGGAGATTGTTGAAAATTGACACACCAAATTGCATCAATTGTCAACATTATGGGTGGCAATTTGGTGGCATTAATGGGGTGGCAAAATTAGTCAAATTTGGCCACCAAATTATTGAAAATTTTAGATGGTAAAACTATGCAATTAGTCATTGTAATTTAGGGTATTTACAAATTAGTCCTTAAAGCTTCAACTATAAATACCCTAGCTCATTTAGCTTCAAAACCATCCCAAAACATTCTAACTTTCTTCTAATACTAGAGAGAATTTAGAGAGTTTCTTGAGAGTTGTTTTCTCCTTTTTTATCAAGAGAGAATTATCATTGTTTTCTCCTTGGTCGATCGAGAGAAGTTGTAATTCATATTTTCTCATAGTGAAATTCTTCTACCATTGCCCGTGGTTTTTACCCTATATTATTTAGGGGTTTTGCACGTAAATTTTGTGTCTCTTTTATCTTCATTTTATTTTCTCAAATTATCAGTTGCGATTTTGCTCTATCCGATAGCCGTCTTCCGCAACAGTTCCTTTTGGACAAATAACTAGATCACCTTGTTTCAATTGCTTTTCCATCATCTTTGAGTCTTTCTCCCTGTTTCTTGTTAATCGAATCGTCTTGATTGGTGAAATCAACTCTGATACCCAACTTAAATTGTATGTGACTGTGACGAGTCTCTGACTAGGAGATCGGACTTGAGCTAGAGCCATTGAAAGGTAGATTGGGTCGAGCAAAGTTCTATGATTGCATACAAAGAGCACACCACGATCTTCACCTAATCGTTTTAGCTCGTCGGTTTTACGTCCGTCATCGGAGACAATTAAGGTGCCTTTCAAACCTGTGAAGCATAGGAATTGCATAGACAACTTGTATGGTAACAAGAAGAAGAATGCTGCTCTAACAAGGAGTAGGAAAATCCCAAAGGGCATCCACATGAGCATGAATAAAGAAGCAACAGGAGTTGGCCTTGAAGCCAATCTTCCATCATGGAAAATCAAGGGTCTTTGATATTTCTCCCTAGGAAGGGCACTCCAGTTCTTGTCAGCTTCACTTACCAAATAAACAACCTAAATGGTACAAACATCAGAATTAATGACAAGAAAGTAGTAAAAAGAACATGCAGAATCAATGACAAACCTCGCAACAAGAAAAGAGTTCGTAATGAAGGGAGCTGTTTAAGCAATTGATGCCAATAATAGACGAGTCCATTTTCCCTTCCCCTTCAACCTTGCTTCCATTTTGGTCCTCCATCAAGCCAATAAAATACCCACAAACGACCTTCAACTCTCGCCCTACAACACTGTCGATCCTCAAATAGTCTTTCAAGAAGCACTCCACCATAACTCTAGGCATATCGGTGACTGCAATTTTGGTACCACCGCATTTCATTACCATATCAAACCCTTCATTCCCAACATCCTCTAACAAGAACTTGGGCAACACCGTTCTCCCAATGCTGAAGCTCTCCTCTTTTAATCCCACAAAGCAAACGAAAACCATAATCTTTAGACCCCATTCTTTACTTACCAAACAGATGATGGGGTACAAAAGGAAGAGGATGACTACCCTTAAGAGCCCTCCAGCTTCAAAGGCTACTAGAAAGAAGTAAGGGAACACTGAAGATGATTTCAGCAGTGCCCCCTCCATATAGAACATCAATGTTTTGTGTAAAGGTATTTGTTGGATTGGGAGCTGCTAGCTTTTCTCTGAAAGAATATTTTATTACAAGACCTAGTGAGCAGGATTTTTTGCATGGAAAGGAAAAGTTTGAGGTTGTATGGTTTTCCGGCAATGATTTTGGACAAAGCTTTTCAATAATGGTCAGGTTTTATAAGATAGAGATGAGGTTATTAGGCTAGTTCATTAGAATCTAAAAGAGTCCGAAATGTGGGTAAAATATCAGAAATGACACCAGGATTACTGTAGTTGTCATTTTTTAATAGGATGGGCATGGCTCGGGTTTTTTGTCCATCCGACCTGACCGACTAAAACAAGATTTCACCTGACCAGAATCCGACACGATATATAACTTAAAAATCCGACCAGACTCGAAATAATAAAAAATATTATTTTTATTTAATAAAAACAGTGATTTAATTAAAAAATAATATAAAAATGGTGTTATTGTAATTATTCCTAAATTTATAATGTAAAATTATAATTTTTGTTGGGTCGGATATTTTTCACCCTAAACCCGACCCGACCTGAACATTATATTTAAAAAATTGACCCAACCCGACCCGATTGGGTCGGGGTCGAGTCCCATGTCCATCCCTATTTATTAATCATATTTTAAAGACTTAGACACAGAGTCCAAATCTACAATTATTATGTCTAATCTTAATCTCACAATTAATTCGGACAGAAATTTACTTACATTAAGGGTGACTTGCGAGGTTCAGTTCATCTTGCTATTTTTGTGTTATGTCAATTGACATTTGTATGATCTTATGGGGAATTAATTTTGACGTTTCTTCTTTAGGTAGTTCTTCTTTGTGTTAACTGACATTTGTATGATCTTATGTGGGACTGATTTTGACTTTACTCATGCAGTTGGTGGTTAATTTAACAAACAAAAATGTAAAAAGGGTTTACAATACGATTTTAAAAAATAGGGTAAACTATATATTTAGCCACCCACCTATTACTTAATTTATGTTTTTGTCATCTAAATATTGTTTTCCAAAATCATATCTAATAGTAAAAAATTAACAATTATGTTGATATGTCACAATAAGATAATGTCACATCAATATGATTGTCTCTTAGGAGAGCACTTTGAGCAACTGTTTAGGGTTCCCAATTTTTATATTTATAATTAGAATTCTTAATTTTTTTAATTCCATAAAATCGTTAATTTTAAATATCTTCTTCCATCTCTATTATTAGTTCATTCAATTTTAAATAAAATTTAACCTTATTCTCTCTATTTTTCCAATCCTATTCTACAATTTATGATTTATCAAATATTTTTAACTTTTAATTTTCTCCGATCTCAATCTAACAATCACATAATACATCATTATTTATTTTTTTATTATTCAAAATCAAGCTTAATATCATACTCATATTCATTTTTTTTTATTTGTTCTCTCTTAGTTATATTTAAGGTGTTTTCTTGGCGCGACTAAGCGACCTTAATTGTAAAAGAATTGTTAATATTCTTTAAGATCTCGGTTTAAGCCCCATAAATACTAGGGGTATGAACATTTAATATCAAATGATTTAGAGTTGTCTTTGAACAAATATTGTCTTATACTTGTTCCAGATTAATATAAAAATATATATAATTCCGTTCTACAAGTATCTATTTTTGAATTTTCGCTTAAAATTTCAAAAAGAAAAAAAAATACCACAATTATTATTAATTTTTTAACTATAAATGATTGAAATAAAACCAAAAAGGTAATATTCTACAATCCTTCTTATTGTCAAGACATTGGATGTGAATCTAATTGTTGAAATTTGAAGTTAAAAAGTCAGTCTTTCATGTCATAATGTTATTAGCTTTGCAACTGCGACCTTTTTCGTTCCTATCCAATTGAATACTATTCTTTAACTCAAAGTTCCATTGCATTTATTAATTTGGTCGGACAATTTTTTAAAAGATTGTATTCGATCATTTTGGGTATTTGATTGTGACAACTCTCCTCCCTCATAATATAATTATACAAAAAATAATCTTTCTAAGGGTAAATTTCAAATATAATCACTTTCATTTTGTAAGCATTCACTTTTAGTCACCTAAGGCTAAACACATAACATTTTAATCAACTATGTTAGGATTTATAATGTTTTGGTCATTGATATGTCAAATAATGTTAGTTTGATGATGTGGAATATTAGTAAAATGAATTCATTTTTAATTTGAACCCTAAATTTTAGATTAAATATTAATTTGATTTTCGTACTTTAGATACAATATCAATTTGACCCTTGAATTTTAGATAAAATATTAATTTAACTATTGGACCATACGAAAGCCCCCTCTCGCTCACCACTATCGTCGGTCACTACCAATCGCCATCGACAGTTGTCATTGACAACCGTCGGATCTAAATTTTTTAATTCACTCCTTTCTAACTTCTTAAACATAAATTCAATTATTGTTTAATCGAAAAATGTTTCAAACTCTCGATGTTTGCTCCCCTTTACCTTAATTTGCCAGTTGGTTGTGTTAAAATCACCCAATCAACCATACAACCAAAGATTTGAAGCTGATGTTACTTGCTAAATTTACATGTTCAGCTTCGGTTTATGATTCTCTTCATTGGATGACTATATGAGTTTCATTTGCGATTATGGTACAAGTTTTATCTTTATGTTCTTGTATATTTAGGTAATCAAAAGTTTTAGCCAATCTTGATCTGATCCCTATTTCATCTTGCTAATATTTTAGTTATGTTGATGAAATCATCTGTTTGGACGTCTAAAAAGTTAGGGTAAATTGTAAATTTAGTAATTGAACTATTTTTCTCTCCTATTATATTCAATGTACTTTTAATTTTTTCAATTTAATTACTAAACTTTATACACTGAAATTTTTTTATTATTCTACGATGACGTATATTATTTTATTATTATTTTCATATGATGTGGTAAATTTTATTAGTATTTTGAATCTATATAGGTTCATAATAAAAAATAAAACTAAAAATATTAAATTATACTCTTAAAATTTAAACACATATCATAACCCTCAAAACATAAACCAAATCCTAAATCTCATATTACAACCCCAACCTCACTCTCACCCTCCCTCGTCTTCTTCCCCTTCTTTCCCACATGCTTGTTATTGTGAACTTCAGACTATGAAAGCATCGGTTGTAATTTCATAAATTTAAATTGACTCGAAAATACATATTTAACTCACAAATAGCATACTTAAAAATATTTTCTACCTAAATTCATAAAATAATCAAATATGAACTAAATGATCATTTTGAACATGTTCAAACACATTAAATGCATAATCAACACGAACACCACCAATTGACCTTATTAACGATTCTTAACCACAACTCATCTAGCTTTACTTACAAATCAACATCACGCCTTTATTTATCAACTAAACCTCATTTCAGCATTCAACATGCTAGAACATATTACAAAACAACAACAAAAATAAGTTATTTACAACTAAACGCAAAAAAGAAACCACGTTACCTTTTTAATCTCAAAATGCATTTATTACATTGTTTTAATGGTTTACCTTGCTATGGATCACCTCACCTCCATGATCAACTCTTGGTTGCAAAATCATAACCAAACATGAGTGTGAGTTTTACAAGGTTAGTGAATGTCCGAGAAGCACTCTAATATAAACATAATACACATGGTTAAGTGAAAGAATACTAAGTGCTAACACAAACAAATCAAGCACTTCATTTTCAAGGATCGTTAGCATGTTCATATTTTTCCAAATCTAAATTGTTGATCATGTATAATACTTTCGAAACTAACAAGTTCAAGTCACAGGTTCATCACTTTATAAATTCATCAATAACATGACAATAAAGAGTGATATGTGGTCACATGTATACATATGAAATGCCATGGAATATATGAATCTCAAATACCTCCATTTTATTGAAGAGTTGTAATCAACATTTTACATCATCACCCCATGGACGACCATAATTGTAACACCTCAAAAATTGGTCTATAATTTTTTTGATGTTAGATGATAAAAAAATTAATGATAAATTTATTATTATGGTTTAATTTTAAAAGAATATTAATAATAAATTTATTATCATGGTCTAATATTAAAGGAAACCGAAAAGTTATAGGTTAGATTTGTTGAGTCTGAGACATTTTTCGGTGAAACAGATATTAGATTCACGTTCAGGAGGCCAAAAAGGAGTGAGCTATGGATTTTATGGTCCAATGATTGGTGACACCGGTTAGTGGTGGAGACTGATGATGGCTGTGAGTGATGACCGACGACAGGAGAATTTGATCGAATTTAAGGTCAAATTGATATGTTATCTAAAGTTTAGGAGTCGAATTGATATTTTATCTAAATTTCAATGTCAAATTAATATTCTATCTAAAATTTAGGGGCAAAATTAAAAATTAATTCATTTTGACTATCATGTCATATCATAACCTAACATATATTAAACATTCAATGACAAAAAAAATAACAATCCATAACATAAGTGATCAAAATTTAACAAATCGATATGTGACTGAAACACAATTGTTTTGAATTTGGAGAGAAAACGTGTACAAATATGAAAAAAAAAAGTGATCAATCAAATATTTAACTCTTTTTTTTATTAATTTGGGGTAAATACAATATAATATATGTTTAAATACTTTTAATTATTTGACATTTAACGCTCATACCCCTATATACATGGCGCTCGAATCCAAAATCTCAAGAAATAACATCTATTTAACCCTTTTTAAGTTAGTAATTCAGATCATTCGAGTAAGCTCAGTGAGTCGTCAAGTCTCTCAAAATATAGAGCGTAAAATATATAAGATTAAACTATAAGATTGATCAGTTTCGTTTAAGTTTTGTACTTTTTTTCATTGAATTTTAAAAACATGATATTTGATTACTATCGTTTTCGGTAAGTTCTGCAGTGCGGAAACCTTAATATACGGCTAAAGAAATGCGCTACCGGAAATAATAATATTTTTTTTAACATTTTCGGTAAAAAAATACCTAAAACATTATTATTTCTACATAAAACATTAATGTTTTTTAACATTTCAGGTAAAGTGTCCAATATTAATATTTCCAGTAGAAAAAATAATGTTTTAGGTAGCACTTTACCGGATATGTTAACAAACCCGGTAAAGCGCCCAATAATAACA